TTTTTTTTTTTCGTCCACCGATGTTCTCCTCTCAAATGAAGGTTGGAAGAGAGAATCTATGATCCCCGATGATATTCAAAACTCAGATGAAGGGCAGGAAGTGAAAAGCAGAATAGGAGATATGGAGGAAAGCCAGCGTCGTGGTGGTCCGGATGATATTATGAGAGGAAGATTTAAACAGCAAAGTCCAACAATGCTGGACATGATCGTATCATAACTTGGCTGCTATTGAAGCAGTAGATATAAGCAACTACCTTGTACTTGTACATAAATGCTTGTGGCAAAAAGGCTTCACCTCTTGCAGACACATGGACCGAGGTTGACAAGACATTTTTCCAGCATTTTATGTCAATTTCTTGCATTTTTCCGCTTTAGGAACCACAACGTCTGGTACGTTTGATAGGAGCAGCTGTAAATGACACAAACCATCAGCACTTTAAGAGTTTTTGATGGGACTTCTTGTGAAGTAAATCAGCTCCTGCAACAAACAGATGATCACATGTGGAAAACAAACCCCAACATTACAGCCCCAGCGGGTCATTGTGCAGTTTGACCACAGTTTCTTGAGTGCAGCGAGTTGACGAACTTCTGGTTTACCTCCATATAAAGTGGTTGTTAATCTGGCAAGACTGCCGGCTTGTTTTCGACATGAATGACCGTCTGGTCTTTGTGTTTCTTGCTAAACTGGAACTTTTGTTGTAGGAATACCACTTTGAGATCTCAGCAATTACTTCAGTCAGTCAATTTGAAAAAGGTTGTAACCAGCAGGGCTTTAACTCTTTCCTCTTTCTCACAATATAAAGTCGATTTGAAGAAGCAGCAGTGGGTTTTCTGTTTATTCAGATAGTCAGCAGATAGCACGTGCAACTGAAATGTCCTTTCTTTTAGCTCTGCTTTGGTCTTCCAAACCCTTGCGGGAAACATCTCACTCCTGTAAAACGCATCACTACACCCATTTGTTCGTAGCTGACTTTGTCCGTCTACCCCGTTGCTGGTTGGTGGTGTACAGGGCACCTGGACTCCACCATAATCCCTCCATACCACCGCATTTCACCATCTCCACCACCACTAGCATGATGCCATCATCGGTGTTACCTTTGAGTTTGTTTTGAACGTCCAGGGCGATGTCCAGAGGGTAGAACGGCAGCACGGGGTCGTTGACCAGGCGGAGAATGGCTTCTGCTGTCATCTGTAGAAACGCAGCCAAAACAAACGTGTTTTTAATAATCTCATAGTTTAAGTTAGTGTTGATCACCATTCCAAGGTAAGCAGAAAACATCCTGTCAGGTCTCGTTAGCTGTCGATATGATTTGTCTTGTAATTAAGCACACAGGAAACCTGCAGGTAAACAGCCACAGCGTTTGGTGCTTGAGGAGTTTCAAAGACTTTTCCAAAGACTTACAAGGCCCTATTCCTCAAGGGAGTCTGTAGATACATTCTGACATTCAAAGTTAAGACAAAATAAACTGCATATAAATTACCTGTTTACCTCTATATCCCAGCTTAAAAACCAACAGAGACTCGCTGTATATAAAAGATCATTGTTGACAGTGGTGGCTGGTGAAAACGGGCCTAAGTGGGACTGTGGGACTCATTCAACCACTCTCAGAGTATGAGAGTCTCTTATAGTCACTGGAGGCATTAAAGGCCCAAATCAGAGTTTTCCTTTTGCTCATATGTGAATCAGATTTTTATATTTCGTTTTTGCAGCGTGTTTAGAGCAGCCATGGTTAGTCTATCTACAATGAAAATGTGTTGACATCGATGGGTTTAAAATGTTTCTCCTGATGCTTGAAGTCACTGTTTTCCTCTAATCACAAGGTGGTGGTTCCATCCCCCTCCACAGCTGAAGTGTCCTTGGGCAAGATGCTGAACCTGAAGTTGCTCCCAATGGCAGGCGGCGCCTTGCATGTCGCCATTAGTGTATGAATGAGAAAACATCGTAGAGCGCTTTGAGGACCACTAAGGCAGCTATATAAATGCAAACCATTTACTGTAACCGATGTTTATCCTCCGTGTCACTACGTAAACGCTGCTTTATGATTCATTCTCGCCTCCAGTCAGCGCTACAGCGAGTCCGACTCAGTTTAAACAACACAGCAGTGCTTCAAATGACCACCATAAAAGAGACAACAACAACCAAACACACACAGGAGCTGTGCTACGTAGATCTGTTTGCTTTGAAAACCTTCAATTTTGTACTGCGCTGCATCACACAGTGACGTACAGGTGGTCAAAATGAAATTAATGGGAATTAGTGGCGAAAATTAATTGTTTCAATCAACTGAAAGGCAAAATAGTCGATGAGTAATGATTAATAGATAGAAAAATGTTCCACAAAAAGCTGTGTACATATTATAAATATCAACTACATGCATCCACGCTAGCTTCTGTAAAGACATCCATCCACATCAGAATGACTAAACTGGCAGTAACTGGTTTAAACTGTGTGTTTCTGTCGTGGCTTCCTGTCAGTTTAAACTGTTTATTCCAATTACTTATCAGCAAATTACAACATTTTCAGCAGGAGAAAGTTCAGAGTCGTGAAAGAACTGAATCAAAACTGCTTTTATCTGCTTCTCCTGGTTTTAGTTTCATAAAACCATCACACGCTGCCACATTCAGATACAAAAGCATTTGTACAAAGCGAAGTTTTCCCCGTACGCACAAAGCAAAACCAGAGTCATCGGATTCATGCGCTGTTTTGAATAGAGTTTTGTAAAAAGCAGGAATATGAAGTCTGCTCTGAACGGAGCTCTCTTTTAGTCTCCTCTCAGATGAAGGCTGGAAGAGAGACTCCACTGATCTAAGAGGAGGCAGAAGTCTTGAGTCTCTGGTCCTCGTGTTCTTCACTGTCGATAATGACGAGCATCACTTTACTGCTGCTGATTGATTCTGCGCGGCGCGATAAAACAATCATGCTTTTGGATCAGATTCGGCTAAATTCACCTTCTGTCCACAGCACTGATGCTTCTGGCTGCTTAGAGTCAGAAGACAAACAGGAAACTCAGCCCCAGCAGTGACGTAACCAAAGAATAACCCGTTAAAAAGTATTAACGGCAGAGTTCTGATGCCAGCTGCCCCTGACTCTCGACCAGAACCAACGAGAACAGAGAGATAAGCTGGAAATCTCCAGGAAAAGGCTAATGAGTAGTATCCCCTGGGAAAAGTGTGTAATGATCCTAAAGTTTGATTTAAGGGTCTTACAGAGTGGGACTGAAGACTGCAGAGCTGTAAAAGAGGACTGCAGTGATGTCGACCCACAATATTCTCCCTGGAGCAGTGAATGAGCTCAGAGCGAAGCTTCAGAGGTGACGGCTGCATCACGTCCGTCATTAGGCCGTTAGATGAACGTCTACAGGTTTCAGTATAGTGAAAGAAAGCAGATATGATGTGCTTTCCTTACATTTACTGTAACAGTATTATCAGTGTGCTATTTGAGATATTAATGATTTAATAATTAAGTGAAATTAAAAAGACATGGTGAATGTAATGACAGATATTTTGATTTAAGTTCACAATTAGTCAATTTATGACAATTATTTATTGATTTTAGAAATAAAAACTCATTTTTTGCCTTTTCACTTTTAAATAAACGATGTTCACGTTGTGCAGCACTGTTATCATATACGATATAAATCTTGTACATACATCTATAGTTGTACCTCCATAGCTGTTATTTGTTTATGATTAATAAGTAGGGATCACATATATCATACTGAGGGTGACTAAATATTATTATATATCATATATTATTGTATATTAAATCCATTACTTATTAATATGTGTATGTACGTAGGCCTAAACATAGATGTAAGTAGTGTACTGTTGCAATATACTTATATTGGTAATATACATGACTATAACAATCTATTAGCAAATGACATATTTATCCTGAAGAAATATTAAGTCCACTTATTACATAAAGGAACATGTAATATTGTAATGACTCATAGGGTGATTATACTTCTTCCTGCTCCTCTTCCAACTCATGTTTGTACATGTTTATCCCCTTGTGGTTTTTTTGTTTTTATTTTTTATTTTTGTTTAAAATAAATATTTCATTCATTCACATTCCTCTCCATCCAAAAAAGACTTAATATAAAGCTATTCTCTACCTGAATTAGAAAATAAAATTGTTCTCAAAACTCCTCATGTGCTGAACTTATCAAAAGACACTAGAATTTACGGATGTTCCCTAAACGCCTCGTGCAAGTTTGGTAGAAACTAGTCGGGTGGATGCAGCCTTGTGCACATGAAGCCTCTCGTCTCCATTCAGTTGCTGCAGAACGGCAGCTCAGACATGAATGTGACTGATAAGACTGACATGAGGCGTTCTAATGTCAGATCTCCCCAAGTTTCAACCAAATGTTTCAATCTACACGGACTATTTTCTATCAGTGGAGCCGTTACATTTCAAAGTTTTATTTGACGAGGCTGAATTTACACATCATGCAGCTCGAATACCAAGTTTACTGTCAGCCTGAGAATCTGGAAAAATAATAATATCTGTCTTCTTAACTGTAATTCAAACTCGCCTTGTGTTTCACATCTTAGCCAATAAAACACGTCCGTAAACGGAGCAGCGTCGGCCAAAAAGTCCTGCTGTCCATCTGGAGACGTATCACATCACCACTCGACTCTATTAAAGCAGAATCTTTTATATTAATAAAACATCTGTGGAGTTCATCAGTAAAGCTGGTAAACACGGTAAAACTACTTTGTTTGTTGTTTTTTAAAGATGCTAGTTTTCTGTCCACATTGATCTCATTGCTGCATAAATCTGCTCCTATGTGACCTTTTTCTGAATGTGTTGACCAGTTTTCAGAATAATCCACCAGAAAACTTTGCATAACTTTTCACTTTTTGCTGTGTGACAAAGCTCAATACCTACATTCTGTTGCTTCTATTATCACATCATTATTATCATTACATTTTCTTTCCATGCACTTTCCTTGAGGGTCAGGAGGAGCCGGAGCCTATCGACGCCGACATGTTGCGGGCTTCATACTGATTAGACAACAGCTGTCTCGTGGGGGGAATAAATAACTGGGACACCTTTGGCTGCGACGCTTGTTCTGGCACCCCACACTGAGAAGCACCATCCAAATCACAGAGAGTGTCTGCCTGGCTCTGCTCTCACGCTGGAGTGTCTGTCATCCTGATGCAAACAGATCACTGCCACTGATTCAGCCACTCTCCCAGCAGGTAGAGCACTTGGCACGGCTTCGACTCGGCTTTTGTTGGGCGTATAACATCATTATATGCTAACATATGACTGTGTATAAACAGCCAGGACTATCGACATATCGATCCCCGTGCTCTCCACCTCGACTGTATCAGCCTCAGAGGAAACGCAGCAGCTTTGTGCTTCTCAGGGCCGCGGTATAATTGGAACCCGTCGAGGACATCACACGCATGGCTTAATCTGAGCGACATTCATTCACACATTAAGAAGATTTGACACCCAGCGAGACACGGAGCTGGATGGATCTCTTTTGTCTTTTCTATTCTCTGTAGAAAACGAGAAACAGACCGGTTTCTGCCTGGCTTTCATTTTGAGCTCTCTCTTAGTTTTCTATTGAGTTTCCTGCTTTTATTTTTTAATTTTTCCAACTTTTTTTTTTTGGCCTTCCCTGGATCAGAAGCAGTCAGGAAACAAAGTGGAAAAGAGGACGCCGTAACATGCAGACAAAACTCCCAGCTGGAATCCGATCAGGAGCACTTCTGTTTAGTAAATATACAGCATTATGAATCTACCAGCCATGAGAGGAAAAAATCTATCAGTCGGTTATCACCTCGACTGTTGAAGCAACACCTTGCCAGAAGGCATTCAAGTGAATCTGAAACACTACTTAGGGTGCTAAATACATTCATTTATATGGATGAACGTTAGCTTAATCACATATAGCAGGAGAGAAGGCAGAATATTTTCTTTTGCCCATGTTGGCCTTGAGGAAGCAGCTATGGCTACTTCCTGGTGTCCTTTCATAGACATGTCAACACCCAAAAGCACCAGACACTAAAACATGACTTTGCTACGAAGCCCTGGAAGGCACATGGAGACAGAAAAAAAAACAGGGAGAGAAAAAAAAACAAATAGAGGTATCTTTTACGAGATCTTGCAAAACTTTAGGTAACTCCAGTCCAGCAGGTGGCGGTAAAGCACCTGAATGTTGGATGCCAACC